TTTTTTTTTTTTTTTTTTTTTTTTTTTTACAGCACCCTGTTTACAATGAGTTATTTTTCACTTGCTGGGCAGAGCAGGATATGAGCAACTGATAAAGCTAATCTATAATGAGATTTTTTTTTCTCCTGCCTGCAAGGTTGCCCCCTCCCCCACAGTACAAAGTGCAGTTTCATTTCTGCTGCGGGCCTGATACTTTCACAATGACTTCTTGCAGCAGAAACAGGAGTGGGGGGAAGAGAAGGCAGGCTGGCCTGCAGCAGCCCTGGCCACACACAGCCTTCTAGCTATCAGGCTGGGCTCCCAAGCCGGATCTGCATACCATCTGATCCAGGCCAAGAGCCCCTTCCCTAACTGAACCCTCCCCAGCTGGGGGCAAAGGGGGGTGAGCACCTGACTATAGGAAAAAAGCCACCCACTCCAATTACTTTGCAGCTTTGGAGCCCTTCCTGCCACTATCTCAACCCTCCCGCTGCCTTTGTGGGGGGAGCTCCCACGCCTCTTCCTTCCGCCTCCAGAGTGCCTGGAGTTCCCATCCTCCTCCGCTTCCCGATCTGCTGGCCACCCCACCCATCTCGAACACCCAGTGCTTCCTCCTGGTCCGGGGTGAGATCTCTCACCAAACCCTCTACTGATCTCCCTAAATGCCAAATCGTCGCGCTCAGCCAGCCAGCCGCCCTCCACTCAGGGCCCCCAGTCGCCGTTCTTCCCACAGTCTTCCAAACCAGCCCCCCCATTCAAGTCTCAAAAGGGAAAGGACCACGAAGGCCATCTACCCCAACCCTCTGGGTGGATTTTAAGTTCTTAAAACACATCCGTTTGTCCTCCCTTCCCCTCCTTCACTGAGGCGGGGAGGCCGCCCCGGACTACAAGCCCGATCAGGAGCAACGCGGAAGCCGCAGCCCCACCGGGCGGCCGGGGACGATGGGAGCTGTAGTCCGGCGGCTCGCGGGAGAGGACGCGGGTGGCGGCCAGCTGGCCGGCCGCTCACCTTGGAAGACCAGCTGGTGCTTGTTCAGGATGTCGTCGCAGACGCGCCGCAGCGTCTCCAGCCCCCGGGCCGCCGTTTTCGCCTCGCCGGGAGAGGCCCCGAAGCGGCCAAGCAGGCCCTGCAGGAACTT